GGAAAGGGTTCAGAGGAAGGCTACTAGAACGGTACCTGGGATGAAGGGGTTGTCATACAAGGAAAGATTAAGATGTATGAAATTGTTTTCTTTTGAAAAAGAGTTAGTGGGAATCTGATTGAGGTTTTCGAGATTAAAGGAATTGATAATGTTGATGCATAGTTAATGGTGAGAATTCCACAAACAAATGTAATATTCTTTAAACTATTGGTCATTTATAATCACTGTCTTCTGTGTTTCTTTTTCAGAAATATTTAAATGAGAAAAAGCTTCCACCTAATAAGAAGTACTACATTGATAATAATTTACTTTTGAAGGACATACATCTCTGAAAAATACAAATATAAAATCATCAAATTAAAATTTTTTTTGGCACATCTATGATTGACTGAGCATCAAATTTTTTTAAAACTGTATTTTAAAAACGTTAAAAAAAAGAGTGAATATATCAAGATAGATCAAAGATGAATTTATTAAGAATAAACTTTGAAGCAAGATTGTATGGATGTCTACTGAACAATGACAATTAGGAAAAATGAATATGTTTTCTCCTACCATTCTTAAATTATTCATATAAACATTTCCAAGTGACAAGTTAAATGTTAAAATGACTATAATTTAATCTTTATATAGTTTTGGTGGCTACAAGTTTTCATTATAACCTAAAATAATGAACATGAATCTTTGTCATGGTTATTATACTTTACGATCACCTAAGTCTAATTATTAATTAGTAACTTTTTATTTTATATAAATATAACTAGATACTAATTACTAACTAGTTTTATCCAACAGTTTAGCTGCTAATCTTCTGCTATCTTCTGGAAAGATCTGAGAAGAACTATATCTGTATAATGTAGTTTCTAGGATTCAATCCTGGGTCTTCTTGTGGAATAGGAAAACCTGGTTACCCATCTTGAAAACATTTAAATAACTGATTCAAGTTCTACATTGGGGAGACTCCAGTTGAATGCATAGTGACTCATATTTTCATCAAAAAGAGCCAGGATAGAATCTCAGAAACTATCAACACTGAAATTGCTCTTTACAATATTTCCCATAGCAACAGATTAGCAGCTGAAATGAAGGACACAACTAGTTAGTAATTAGTAGCCTCTTGTATAAATAAAAAAATTAATTACTAGGTGAATTATATAATTGTATAGGTAACAAACCATGACCGTGACTGATATCTGATTGCCAAAACCATATTGTTAGTACTTAATGTACATAAACATTATGATCATCTCGCTCTAGGAATTATAACAAAAATATAATTTTAGCAAGCCTTTTTATCTCAATCATTATATAATACCAAAATTAACACATCCTATGTAATTCATTTAGATATCTTATGATATGATGAAAATATATGACAAACCTTCCCAAGAATATTTTCCAATTGTGGAACAGGAAATTTCGTGCCAAGTGGTGACCACTCGGTCGATTAGCAACTCTTGTTATAACCTTATATTTATCCTGAGGGTCAATTTTGGTAGAATCCAGAGAATATTCCAAGAACCTAAAAGTTTTAAGATGAATATGTAAAACTGTTTGTTTGTGTCAGACATTCATGCAAAATTACATAAGGTTATCTGTTCTAGCCATTCTGAATTGGAACTGACAGACTTAAGGGAATGCAAGTAGTCAACAGCACCATCAACTAAATCTTAGGCTAATCTAAGTGAATATTGGGATTTGACCATTACTCTTATAATGTATCCATGAATCTGAAGTTCAGACACGATCAACGGGACACGAATCATAAATCCTCAGGGTTACATTCTAGCATGTTACCAGTAGGACATGCTGGCCCTCAATTGTTCAAGTATCATCAGTAAAACAATAAAAGTGTCTCATACACACACATATATATATACTTGTATGTCTATAATAATATTAATAAGCAGTAATTTGACCTGTCGAGGCATTTTTTTAAGTCCTATATTTTTTCTGTTGATACTCCTTCATGGTTTACAAATGCCACTCTACAGCCCTGTGAATGTACATATTTGCAAATAATAAAAAATTCCATGCATATCGACAAATAAAAAACTAACTTTCAAAAAATGTAAATACAACAATGTTCTGAAGAATATAGTCTAATATTTTTTTCTTACCGTTTAAGTAACTCAGTGTTTGTAGATGCACTAAGAACATCAAATAATAAAGACCTTTCTGAAGGAATGGTGGAATTCTGTAAATAATCCCACAGATACTGCCATTCTTCTGAGCCTCCTCCTATGATTCCTGCAGTGTACACTGACTTTTGGAGGTTTGGAGCAATCCTGAAAAGCAATACATAATTAATGTACTTTTTATTCATTATATAATAGATTACTAGATATGTAATGTGAATTTATATTTCAAAAAAAAAATTACAGAAACAAAAAAAGGTACCGGAATGTTCCCAAAAATATTTTGGGTTCCATATGTTATTGTTATTATTCAGAAATCATAGCATATCACTGCACTTGCACTGTTATTCATTGAAAATGTCCATCAGTGATTAACGTGTATGTTTTTACGTTAGACAAAAACTTAGATAAATGCTACAGCGCAAAAGGAAATAAAACCTAATGCACTATTTACAAATTATCTTCTTGTTCAACTTACAACTGCTTCTTATGGCCACAAAAAGAAAGTTTTAAAACATTTTGTCTTCAAATATTTTAAGGGGAAACCTAACACTTTCACTGCTCAAAACTAACTACTGTCTAAGAAGAAGATATAAAACTTTATTATATGTAAAATCAGAGCATTTTGATAAATAAAATAGTTCAGAGAATTCTTTTAAAAAGAAACAATAACAACACCACAGTATAACTACTAATAATTTATACTGTACTCTAAACTGACCCAAAATAAACTTATAGTAAGAATAGCATATTATAAACATTTTAACTGTATTTTTTATATGTACAGTGCTGAGAAATCTTCTCTTTAATTAAAAAAACAGCTCAGTATTCCTGAGTTAAATGCCTAAAGTTTTTGTTCAAGTGATTTACACTAGTCATGTAAGTTAAGTTACCATAACGTTAACCCCTTTTAGAGTAATTACAAGTATGATGTAACTGTTAACAAAGTTCAGTGGAGTACATTAATCTAAAAAAATTTGCCTAGTACGATATTAAATACTTTAAAAGAGTGGATGATATTCTTTATTAAAATAAATATGGCCACAACATCCAGATGAATAAAACTTTTAATGTACCCGACAGTTCAACTTATGTCTTTATCAAGAGTTACATATCTACATGTAAGATGTTGGGTATATTGAAAGTTTTATTTGTCTGGAGTGTTTGGTCATATTTAATTTAACAACGAATTCTAGTCTCCAGTGTGCAGTCAAACATCTGAACTTAACTAATAGTGGATAATATTCTTCTTATTACAAACATTTGGGTAAACACAAAAGAATAAAGACAATACAATGATTGTCAATAGGTAACTAATTTTCAAGCATTCATATTAATAGGTTAGATCTCAAAAGATATATGACTATTTTTGTTAAGTATTCCTGTAGTATTCTAGGGATTACCCTGATCTATGCAATAACTGGAGATTCATAGACCTAGTATGCAGAAGGATAGGTGTGGTGATTTGACACAAAATAAAAAAAATAAACGAAAAAAACAACAAAACAACAACATATGAAGTTGAGATTAAAATACACACTTTATCAGCTGAAACAAGCAGAATAGTGTTCAATATAGGCTCAATCTTGGCTCTTCCAATTGAAAAACTAATCTGCTTGAAACTGTCAATGGTGATTTTTACAATCCAGTTTTTATCTCTGTAGCTCAATGTATTCCAAATTAGAATGACAGAAAGACTTAAGTTGTTTTCTAAGTAGTAAATATATTCCATGAGAGTGAAGTATGTGGCTTTTGTAGACCACATTCCTGATTAGACCAAAGGTTTCTTGTTATCTTGGCTATATGTAACTGATGTTCTAAAAAATAAATATTTTCTATCAAGATAACGAAAATCATTTGATTTTACTCTGAAAATGTCTGAACTATGAAGCACTCAGGATAAAGGCTATAGAATACATAAATCATTGTTATAACAAATCTATCTGAAACTATTAAAATTGCATTTACAATTGAACTACACTCTCTATAGGTGACCAATTTCAAAATATCTCTGCTCCATGTGACATTCACAGAGTATCTCCATATACACAAAGCAAGGTAATACACAATACAACTGTTTAATGTTTAGTAGTTTCAATGAAGTTAATCTGCTAGAGAAATTTAATACTTAGGGCAGATCTGGTGCATGACCCAACTAGATTTCTTATGTTCGAAATTAACAATCCACAAATATTTAACATTTTTGTAAGTATGAAATGTATTTATGTTAGTGATGTATGTATTTTATGTAATGGACAGTGTATAAAGCACGTAATTACAAATGATGCCTTGTCTCTCACATGAAAAGTATTTTGGCCCCTACATTTATTCCCCTTGTCACCAGTTCTTAAACTTGTCAGACCCTTCAAGTCTCCCTCAATTGTGTGAGTGTGTGTGTGGTGGGGGGGGGGGGGGGCTGTTGGGGCATAGGTATGCTACTGATATGAAGCTATTTTGCTTCTATTTAAATTTAATTCAGAAATTAAATCAGTTCATTCATGTTCTTACAACATGCTTAATTGGTAAGAAATGCAGATTTTTGGTCATTTGCTCAAATGTAAAACCCAGCATCTTTTGACTTGTTTGTAATGTTGTACACAAAAGCTAATCAAGAATTCATTTCTGATTATTTAAAAAGCATTATTATAGTTTTTTTTAATTCTTATTGCTCTGTAGTATCATGAGAAACAATCTTGAAGTTCCAAGTTGATACAAGCTTAGCATTCAAAGTCCGTATGTTAAACTATTATAGATTGTCCATCTGTAAACTAGTGTTTGTTTCTCTCTCTCTCTCTCAATCTTCTTCTTCTAATATTCTGGTTGAATTTTTTTCCATAATTTGACCCATATACAGAACAAGTATATGTATTCAGTTTTTACAGTTTTGACTTTTATCAAGTTGCCCAGTTATGTTAAAATGCATTTACTACTTGATAATATCCTTAAAGTTAATTTTTCTTGGTTGAAAAAAAAACAGGATACTTTTTTTTTATATTTAACTTAAAATGTCAGTTTCTCCAAACTTATTGAAAGAAAAGCAATTTTATGTATAGAAAATGGAGTAATTTAAATGTTCTTGTCAAGGTTTGTTGCTTTGTTTCTCGTCCTTTGCAATATTCTACACATATTGGTAATTTTTTTATAGTTAACAAACACGTTTTTTGTTTAATCATCACATTATTATTGTACACATTTATGATAGTAAAACCTATAAATGAAGCAATTGAATATTTTTTGAGTGAATTTTGCAATTGCTTCAGTGTATTTAGTAGTTGAAAAGAATTTAGAAACAAAGTTGTAAACATTTTTTGAGTGAACATATACATGGAGAAATATCATAAATAAGGACGTCTGTATTACAAAATATGGCCATGAGCTAGAGTATACAGTAGCTGCATCAGTGGCATTGAAAAGCACATAGAGATATTGCCTAGCAACGAAGTAAGTGCACGAGCACCCGTGACAAGTTGTGACTCTGTTTCTTTATTCTAACCATAGATTACCTCGAGTTAGCGACTTGTGAGCTCCACTCACCACTGCCAATCTTCCACTAAATAAATTTGGTGTGACCGGCAATATAATTGAAACTCCAACAATCAGCCCACTAGAGTATAAAATTGCAAAAAAAAGGTGATATTTTGTTATTTATAGTATAGAGGTTTTAAATAGCTTTCAAACTCAACCTTCAAATAAGTTTTGTAAAATAACTTCATACAATATATTGCATTCATGGCTTAGTGCATATTCTTCTGTTTGAAAAGTGATTTATAATCATGCATTCACCAACTATAACTTTTACTCTTTGCTCTTAAACTTTTATATTTGTTTATTTTACATCAACTTGATAAAATCACTCAGAAACAAAAGTTATGAATTTAGTGTATGATAAAACAAAGCAGAAATATAATGTTGGAATCCTATTTGTAAACTTCTTGAAAACTCTTCACAATGTAAGAACACTTAAAAATGCTACTATATAAAGTTAAATGTTTAAACTTACCATGTGCCATTGTTCTTCCATGAATCAAACAATTTCTTGCCTTCTGCTATGACTTCTTTATCTCCAAAGTATAAAGCTTCTATTAAGGCCAATGAACGAAGTTTCCTGTTGTATTTAGAATAATGAAAAACTTAGAATTAAAACAAATTATAAAAATAAATTTATATATTTTTTTATTACCTCTTTATCAAATGTAGGCTGTAATTAATAATGGCGTAACTAATGTTCAGCCTAAGACAAGTGAACTTACAGATCTCAGTGTTTGTGATTAGAATTCTTTATATTATTCCAGAAATCCTGTATTAAAAGAAGTACTGTTGCAATAAATATACTAATCCGACTGCTAATGTTTTCGGGGTCTTTGCTAGTATATCTAAAATATAACCAATTCTGACTCAACATCACAACATAGTGTGTATGTGTTAAATCACAGGAATGATAAAAGACAAAGCATGGGTGGTACCTGCACCCTGATAAGAATGGTATTGATGTTATTATAATATAATAATTGATTTTCTAATATTTAATTCACTTGGAGTATTATGTTCATCTAAAATTATTGTTTCATGCCATTGTTTTGAATGACCTGTTTTAACAAAGCATTCAGTAAAAGGAGAAATTAGCATTTTTTTGTTACGTACATAACTTTTATGTTCATTAAGATATTTCAAATTATGTTTAGTTTGATCAATATATGTTTTGTTGCATTAACACCTAATTTGATATTTACCATTTCTCTCTAAAATGTTTTTTATCTTTAGTGCTAGGAAGTACTGTTTTGATTTTGTTAAATGGTTTGAATTCTTCTTTAACTGTATTGTATTCTCTAGTTGAGCTGAATCAAGTTGTGTTAAATTGTCTCAGACTGAGAAAACATGGCTAAATTTTGTGCTGTAAAATAAATAATTCTTTGTTAAATACAGACGAAAGGATAGCTGGTGAAAATGCACACTTTTTGAAAAAAAATGTTGACTTCTTATGTACAATACTCATACCACTCACATAGATTACAATGAGCTAAACTTTTTCTTTATAAAACTACTTGCTTCTCATATAGGTTTTACTCCTAATGATGGTAGCATAATGGTACTGAAACATGCTGAATCATATAAGTTTTGGTAATTGACCAGATATAATATTATTGCACATTTTAAACATTGATCTTGTTTTTAGTTTTAAAATTTATTGCATAGATCGTCAAAATTGAATCTTCAAAGAGATAGACCCACAAACAATTTTGTGCATTAAATAATTTTGAAAAATATGCTTCAAACCAAATGGAGTCCATATATATCAGTAATTTTGGGGTTAATAAAGTATTTTTTCAGATTATTATTTTTCATTGTTTTTCCTAATTCAAAATTATCTTTTACGAAGGCTTACCCAATGAATATATATTTTAGAAAATGAGACTAAGTAAGAAAACAAAAACACCATGAAAACTCTTAAGATATGGTAAAAAATAATGTGTAAAATAATTTGATAGAAAATTCTATATTTTTCTTTGGAAAGTTAAAATAATGAACTCTTTGAAAATATATCATTTCAAATACACTGTGATAAAATATTTGAATTCAAATCCATTTTTTACTTTTTCATATGTGAACCTTCATCTTTCCAGCCTAAAGAGACCACTAGGGGATGCAGTAATTTCACTACATACCTCTGAAAAAAAAAGAGAGAGAGAGAGAGAAAACACTTAATTTACATTTAATTTTATGAGTAATAAAAGCATAACTTTAAAATTCTAACAGTTAATGCATACACAAATTGCATAAGTAGTATAGAGTACTTTTTGCTTTTTTAATGCTGTAAATCGCCAGAAAAGTTTTATATTTGGGCAATTTACAATCTTTAAAAATATAATGTCTAACTTTCAACTGAAAAGAATGGCCAGCATTATAGACTTAACATACATAAGAACATGAGTATAAGTATTATAACTGATTCAGTAGTACAGAAACTTCACGTCCATATCTGATATTCACCTAGCAATAGTCAATAACCTCAGGTTAATGAGAAAAATATCAAAGATATATCTCAAAGTTCCATCTACACCAATAAAATTAATACCTATCATATGTGGTTGTTGACAGAAGCTTGTCTTTGTCTCTGTATGTGATCAGTTGAATGTTGGAAAAGTATTTGTTGAGCAGTTCAGTCATGCTAAAACCTGTTCAACAATAACATATAATAAATCTACATTTTTATTGTTTAAGTTACATCACATTTGGAAATGTGAATGATAGTGTGATTAATTCCTAACAATTTAGTGTAGAATACCATGCTTGCAAAATAAAATTTGGCATCAACATTATTCATGCCTGTTCTCCTGTCATTTCAAAAGTGAATGTTGAGCTTTGCCTGTGTGTACAGCTTTTCAAACACAGTGCGGGAAGCAGCTGCTATAAACAGGAAACAGATAAACACTCAGACAGACACCACAGTTTGCAATATATATGTATAAAATTTGATTTTAACTTCATTAAGACCCACAGCCCTGTCATTTAACTTACAACACTAAAAGAAAATACAAATGTTAAAACTACAGCTAGTTTATTATATATATTTATATCTTGTAACATTTCAAGCAATACCTTTCACTGGGCTTCACATAAGAAATCTATTGTAACGCCTGATGGAAGATAGTTGCCAAAAACATTGGATAAAATATAGGAAGTTAGGTGTTGTTGTTCCTGCTTTTTTGTTTGTATGTGTGTGTGGTGGGCGGTATAAGCAGCTTAGAGCTATGGCTCTGAATGAAACCAAGAGTGCAACACAATTAACCTTTTTAAAGTCCATAAAATGATTTAAAATAATAGATTAACCTAAACTTTTCCCATCACTGGAGATAAGTAATTTTACTTGTAGTTTAATAAGATAAACCTAAAACACCTAGAAGGTACTAAAGATTTGACGTAAAGTGTTCTAGCACATTCAACGCTAGATTATAAACATGAGAAATTTAAATGTGAAGTGTGGAAAGTTATATCAAGATACAGTTGAACCAGACAGTGTGTTTTTGTGAAATATTTGGATCTGTTTGAAGTAACACAAATTTTCAGTTACTGTATACAAGTAAGTTGATTTTGTTTATGTAATGCAGTACAGTTTGAATGTAATTTGTAGCATTGGATTTACAATTACACGTTTGTTAAAAAAAAACTTCTGTACTTATTCACCCAGTAAATCTAAATTATATGTATATAAACTACCCACTAAGCAATCATTTAAGAAAATACATCTAGTGTGCAGTTTACAACTGGTTAGATTAAAGTTACCAGTGTGTAACTGTTGTTTTTATTTTAATTTTTAAACACATGGTTCACTCATAGTATTTGGGTTTAATTTAGAAATCCAAAAGCTAAGCATTCATGAAGTTTTATACAAATATTTTGCATTTGTAATATTTAGAATATCGTAATGCTCTAGCTGCTAGCTAAGCCATAGATTCGATAAGAAGTGGATACAATATATGTGATTTTCTAACTGCATTTGAAGTCCTTCCAACTATACATATTAGTAATAGCTATAGCATCACTTTAACATTTAGTGTCACTGTTTTATCGTGTATTTGGATCATACTTTTGTCTTGCTGTTTCTTACTTAAAAGCCCTATTAAAAGTTTGTGATGAGAAAAATTAGATCTCATACTCTTATGGTAACAACTGGGCTAGGATTGTGAATTTTTTAAAAAAAATTATGCATAATTTGGCAACATTTGTGAATTAAACATTTGTTTTTTTTTATTATTACAAATGACTTCCAAGTGGCCCCAGGTCTAGTCACCTACAAAAAGGTTCCAAAATCTAGAATTTTGCTAATGCACACTGTATTTACTTTTCACTTTTCTAGTAGTGGGCTTATAAATTTGGGATGGCTAGTGCAAACAAAAAAGCAATCATATAAAGCCAGAATAGAGAATGATTTCTTTAATGTAATCTAATTTTTCCAGTTTTTTTACTTTTTGATTCTGAAAGCTAGTAGCTTTACTTTCCTATATTTTATTTTATTCTGTTCAATTATTATTTTTAATTAGAGTAGAGAGAAGGCAGTTAGTCAACATCACCTACTGCTAATCCTTGGGGTACGTTTGTCAAATACTGGGATTTACCATAACATTATAATGCTCCCACAGCTGAAAGGATAAGCATATTTGGTGATTGTATTCAATTGTCTGACTCACAAATTGCCAATCAAGCACCCTAACCATCAGATCATTGCAAACAATGACATTATGAAAATATTAGGTCATCAAGAAATTAATGTCGGTTTTTTTAGATGAAAAAAAACCTGACCAACTTGTATATCAAAACAAAACATTTATTAAATGAAATAGTCACCTCCTTATCGATG